AGGATGAAAGACCTTGAGAACAGCTATAATACATTTAACTTTTTCACTGAGTAAGATGGGAAGACTTTGGGGGCGTGCTGAAGAGATGAATGACATAAACTGAGTTACATTTTAAAAGGATCACAGTAATTGCATTGTTGAAAATAGATTGTAGGGAGTAAAGGGTGAAAGAAAGGAGTTTTCTTTGTATTTATCCTGCTTGGAGTACACTAAGCTTTTTGGATCTGGATGTTGATATTTTCCACCAAATTTGGGAAATTTCAGCCATATTCTTTCAATTTTTTTCTGTCTCATTCTTTCTCCTTTCCTTCTGTGACTCCAATTATACATGCATAAGGCCTCTTGATATGTGCCCACACATCACAGAAGATCTGTTCTGTTTCTTTCAATCTTCTTCTCCCTGTTGTTTAGATTGGACAATTTTTGTTGATCTAGCTTCAAGTTCAATGATTCTTTCTTCTGCCATTTCTAGTGTGTTGAATTTTTTATCCACGTATTGCACTTTACTTATAGGCCTAGAATTTCCATTTGGTTCTATTTTTATAGTTTCCATTTTTCTGCTGAAGTGACAGTGATGCCTTAGGAGTGGGGACCATGCCCTTATGTAAGGAGCATGTTCTAGGTCCAGGAAAAAATGGAACTTTACTAGACATGTGAAAAAAGTGGAAAATCTAACCAATTATCTAAATTAAAAAGTCAATAGAAATCATTGCCAAGATTACCCAGATGTTGGCAATAGCAGACAAGGACTTTACAGCACTTGTTATACATATATTAAAGTACTTAAAGGAAAATATGGTCATATTGAATAAACAAATGGATGATCTTAGCAGATCCACAGGTAACTTAACCATATGCAAGAACAAAGTGTAACATTCTTGAAAGGAATACACACCCACAAAAAATGCTGGCACTCAAAACATAAAATTCACAAGTATGGCACGCAATCAAAATTTGCCCAGCATAGAAAGAAGCAGGAGAATATGACTCATAATCAGGAGAAAAATCAGTCAATAGAAACACATAGAAATGACAGAGATGACAGAATTAGACAAGGACATTAAATTAGCTATTATAATATGAGCAAGGATATAAAGGAAAACATGACTATAATGAGGAGGTTAATGATGATATAAAAAGACACAAAAGGAATTTCTATAGATGAAAAATATACCTGAAATGAAAATACACTGGAAAGGATTAAGAGCAGATGAGATACTGCAGAGGAAAGAAGAGTGAACCTGAATATGTAGCAACAGAATCTATCCAAAATGAAGCACAGAGAGGAAGAAAGACACACACAAAAAAAAAAAAAAAAAAAAAATTAACCAGTCTAACCAAAAAGTGACCAATCTAACTACACTTAATTAGAATCACAAAAATAGAGGTCAGAGGAGGCAGAAAAAACTTTGAGGAATTAGTGGCCAAAATTTTTCCAAATCTGATGAAAGGGAAACACAACCCCACAGGTCCCAGAGGCTCAACAGACCCCAAACAGGAAGAATGCCAAAAGAACCACACCAAAACACATTGTAATCAAATTGCTGAAAACTAGTGGTTTAAAAACAAAACCTAAAAAAATCTCTAAAGTAGACAAAGAGGAAAAGACACGTAACCCAGAGAAATGCAGATGAGAATTATAGAAGACTCTGTCATAAATTATGCAAGCCAGAAGACAATTGAACGACATCTTTAAAGTGTTGAAAAGGAAAAAATTATGTCAACCTAGAGCTCTATATCCGGTGAAAGTATGTTTCAAAAGTGAAGACAAAATAAAACTGTTTTTAGACAAACAAAAGTTAGGAGCATTTATTGCCAGTAGATTGGCATTATAAGATAAGTTAAATAAAGGAAGGACTTCAGGCAGTAGAAAAACGATGCCAGAGAGAAATCTGGAACCACGTAAAGGAATGAAGAGCATCAGAAATGCTTAACATGTGGGTAAATGTAAAAGACATTTTACAATTACTTTTTATATTCTTTTAAAAAATAATTCACTATTTAAAGCAAAATACTAACTGCACAGAAGCAAATGTATGGCAACTTTAGCACAAAAGATGGGAGAGGAAAGTGGAAAGTTACTGTTGCCATGTTCTTACATTTTACATGAGGTGACAAGTATTATTTGAAGGTGGACTGTAATGATGTATGTATGCTGTGAACCCTAGAGCACCTACTGAAAAGTAAAACACAGAGGTAGAGCTAACAAGCCAATAGAGAAGAGAAAACGAAATCATAAAAATAGCACTCAGTTACTGAAAAGAAGGTAGAAAAAGAGGAAAAGTGGAAAATGGGAAAAAGAACAAATAGAACAAATAGAAAACAAATAGCAAGAGAGTAGATTTAAATTCAACCATGTCAATAATTATATTAAATCTAAGCGATCTAACCACTCCAATTAAAAGACAGATATTCTCCAATTAGATTAAAAAGAAACAAAGTGACCAACTATATGATTTCTCCAAGAAACTTACTATACACAGCAGAGGAAATCATCAACAAAATAAGACAACCTACCAGTTGGGAGAAGATATTTGCAAATCATATATCCAATAAGGGGTTAATATCCAAAATACACAAAGAATTCATACAACTCAAGAACAAAAAAACAAACAACCCCATTAAAAATATGCGCAGAGGATCTGAAAAGACATTTTTCCAAAGAAGATATACAGATGGCCAACAAGCACATGAAAAGATGTTCAATATCACTAATTACTAGGGAAATCCAAATCAAAACTACAGTGTGATATCACGTTACACCCATCAGAATGGCTGTTATTAAAAAGACAAGAAATAACAAGTGTTGAGAGAATGTGGAGAAAAGGGAACACACATACAGTTCTCATGGTTATGTAAACTGGTGCACCCACTATGGAAACCAGTATGGAAATTCCGCAAAAAATTAAGAATAGAACTACCATGTGATCCAGCTATTCCACTGTTGGGTATTTATCCAAAGAACATGAAACACTAATTCAAAGAGATATATGCATCCCTATGTTCATTGCAGCATTATTCACAATAGCCAAGACTTGGAAACGACCTACATGCCCTTCAATGGATGAGTGGATAAAGAAGATGTGGTGTATATATATACACACATATATATGTACAATTTTGTCTTTTTTCATGGCTGAGTATTAGTACTAGTGTGCCATTTGCGACACTTTGGATGGACCTTGAGGTCGCTATGTTAAGCAAAGTAAGTCAGATGGATAAAGTCAAATACTGTACAGTTTCACTCATGTGTGGAAGATAAAACAACAACAACAAACACAGAGATATAGAGCTTAGATTGGTGGATACCAGAGGGGAAGTGTAGGAAGGTGAAAGGGGTAAAAGGGCACATGTGTATGGTGACAGATGGCAACTAGACTTTTGGTGGTGAGCATGACATAGTCTATGCAGAAGTTGAAATATAATGATGCACATGTGAATTTATATAATGTTATAAACCAATGTGACCTCAATTAAAAAATTTTTTAAAAGAGAAACCTACTTTAAATATTAAGAAACATGTTAAAAGTAAAATGATGGAGAAATGATATCACATAAACATGAATCAAAAGATTTGATGGTTTTGTAAATCTAAAATACAGAAAGATTCTCTTGCACTCAGGACAAAATTATTGGTGAGAAGCATTTTAAAAGTGCTATACTGATCTCTAAGCATTAACCTTTGTCTAGAATAAAAGATAATCACACCAGTATGTAGGTAGAAATATAATGGGAGCCCCAAAGTGAACCAAATACATAAGTTTAGGTTTTCTAATAGCCACATTTAGAAAAGTAAGAAGAATACTGGTGGATACATGTCATCATACATTTGTCAAAACCCACAGCATGTATAAAACCAAGACTGCAATCAGTTCATCTACTGCATTACCTTGGAAGTGGTATCTATTACCCCTATGACTCCATTTTTCCACATGGAAGCCCCCTACAGCCTTCCCTCATGACATTTCCTGAGGTGCACAGAGCTCAGGAGACCAACTGTTCCATTTTGCCTGGTACAAATGAAGTTCCTGGGACCCGGGACTTTCAGTTTTAAGACCAGGACAGTCCCAGGTAAAGCAAGATGTGTTGATCTTACACAGAGCCCATTTCCTGCTCAGTGCTTCCAGGGCACAGCTGGGCCCAGAGCAACCATCCCTTCCCTCAGCTGAGCAGTTACCACAGGAATTGGGGAATTCTGGGCAGAGGAGACACATGTTGTGACAGAGGGGTGAAATCAACTAAAAGTTCTGGAAGAAGGTAAAATGATCTGAAAGGATGGTGGCAGGGACGCAGGGAGGGTGTGGAGAGGAAGCTGGAAAACGTGGTCGGGTCCAATTGCTAAATACCTCTGACATCTTGTTAAATAATTGTACTTCATTCTATCCTCCAAGAAAAGAGATGGCCTCTCAAAGAGTTTGAAGCCAGAGAGCTGTCTTCAGGACAGATGTTTTAGAAAGATTATCATAATTTATTCATGTTTCCACTCGTAAATTTAAAAGACAGAGAATGGATAGAAAGAGACCTAAAAGACATACAAACCAACTCCAATATATGGATTTTGGTTGGAACTTGAAAAACTGTAAAAGGAAATTATGGGACAATAAGGAAAATGTAAACACTTATTGGATATTTAATGATATTAAGGAATTTAAAAACTTTACGGTTATGCTTTTGTAAAAAGGGAGGGGAGAGAAAAATGGTATTCAAGAACAGAGAGAGAGAAGTGGAGGTGGAGGCAGAGAGAGAGAGAGCTCCGACAGCCAATGGACCCTCTCAAATATTCCCCACCATAGCTGCGGGGGTAAGGGGGTAGAATGGGCCCCCCCCCTCCAAACTGTCTCTTACACAAAGTCTAAACTCAACCTGACATTCAAGGCTCTCCCTATATAGATACACAGGCAGTCCTCCCCCAGCTTTTTCCAATAGGAATAGGTACTCAACAGGACATGAAAGACACATTGAGGCTAGAGGTGCCAAAGAACATTGAGGCGAATCCATACCTCGGGCCCTTGTCCGGGGACCGTGTCTGACGCAGAGCCCCTCAGATTTTAGGGGAGGCCCAGCTGTCCCCGGCTACACCCCTTCTTTGGTGTGAGGCAGCGTCTGGGCAGAAATGTTATTAAGCGGATCACAATGGGTATGTGAAAGGGAGAAGTCCCTTTGATTCAGCCTTGGGCTACGCCCTAGTTCTCAGACGAGCTTGCAGTGTGATCTTGGCCAGGTCAGTCCCCTTTCTGAGAGTCGCCTTTTGCTGAGTGCCAGCTGGCGGACCCGACTGCAGAAGCCCCACTCCGGATTAACAATAGGCCAGAGTCCAGGCACCGTCCGGTCTCCAGCGGGTTTCGGAAGCTCCGCGCGGCCGAGGGGCGGGGCCCGGGCGCGCGGCAGCCAATCATCGCAGGCCTCGGGGGCAGGGGCGGGGCTAGCAGGCAGCTGCAGCGGCGGTTGTCGGCCGGGTGCCCCCAACTCGCGGCTCGGCGCTCGGGGCTCGTTACCCCGGGCTCGGGAGTCCGGCCCGGACATGGGGGCCGTGCGGGGCCGTGCGCGCTGCTGCTGCCCCTGGCCGTGGCGGGGGTCGCGGACGGGGTAGGGTGCCTGGCCCAGGGCAGTGCGGATGAGTGATGGCCGGAGCGGCTTTTCGCGGCGTCCAGGGCGGCCGCCTCAGCGCTCCCAGGGGACGGGGGTGCGCGCGACACCCAGGGCGGGCCACGCAGGGTGACACTGGGGCCCAAGGTCCCAGCGGGCGGGGCGTGCTGGGCGGGCTGAGCGAGGACCCGCTTCGCCCTCGCTGCCCCGCAGATTTGCTGAAGTGTGAGTGGCGCCCGGGTCCGGGGTCTCGCGCTGTCGCCTCCGGACAGGGGCCCCCAGGCGGCCCTCGCCCTCCCCGCTGGGGTCTCTATCTGAAGCGGGTGACGCGCCTTCGCCCCAGATGGTCGCGAGGGCGTGTGGAATTGCAGAGGCGGGGCAGCCGCCCCGGCCGTTCCTGGGACTTGACCGTCCCAGGGTGGGAGAGGCCGGCGGCGGGCGCCCGGAGGGAGCGGCGGCCTTCCGAGTCCAGCGCCGCAGCCGCCGCCAGGCGCGCTGGGTCCCCGACGCCGCCGGGCTCTGGCAGGAGGTGGTGCAAGTCGATGACCCTGCTCTTGGTCGCGGAGTGGAGGAGGGTTTTGTTCTTGCTCCTGAGCTGTGAACCGGAGGTGGATGGGGAATGACGCAGTGCTGGTGGTGAGTCTCCCGCGTGCTGGGCTCTCGGAGCGGCGCGGACTGCTGCTTTCCAGGAGCTCTGCACCTGGGAGGGGGACACAGCAGGACTCAAGCAGCTCGAGTTCAAGGCACAAGTGACCAGAAGAGGTGAAAGGCTGTGGGTGCACAGAGGGAGAGACGACGTCCCCCTAGGGTGGGAAGAAAATTGAGTGATCCCCCAAGATACTTCTGGCGTTCCCTTTGGAGGGTGGGGTGGGACCTTATGCTGTAGTCTCAGGATCCGTGTGTCATGGCACCTGATAGTAGCTCTGTTTCTATTCAAGATGTTTTGGAGTGGTACAAAAGAGGGGAAGATGTAACATCAAGGGCTAGGTTTCAGTAAGCTGACATTTGAGGAATTATGTCGTAGTCAGCCTAGAATCCGGAAAAGAAATGTAATGAATTTTAAGTTAGAAAAGCAAGCCCCTTCTGGAGGAAAGTAATAAGAAGCAGATTCTCTTCCCAAAGAAGTCTCTTAGCCCACACTGTAGAAAGCACTAGGATTGGTGATAGACCAGATCTGTCAGTTTATTCTCGTGAGCTGCTAAAATTTCCTGTCTTATATCCATAGACTTAAGCAATCTTTCATTAGTCGTACTTTTCACCGTGTGCCACTTCTAGAAGAAGTGAGAGGAAGCCAAGGAGGTGATTTTTATATATTATAAATGTGGTTTTTAAAAGAGCAAAACAAATATTACAGGGGTTTGTTTATTCAAAAACTATTTATTGAGTGCTTATTCTATGTCAGGCACTGTTCTAGTTGGGGGGTTGCTGCTTTCAAGGAGCTTGCCTTCTGGTGGAGGAGAGATGGACAATCAACAGATAAATAAAATGATTTCTGATAGAATAGGTATGCTATGATGGAAACCAGATAACAGTGAGAATTGTGTGAGTAGAAGGAGAGGGGTTCTTTACATAGTGATGACAAGAGGGGACTCTGAGAAGATAAAGTTCAGAACTGTGATCTGAAGACTTGTGAAGGTGCTGTCCTTAGGAAAGACAGGGCTGGGGACCAGGAGGTGCACAGGAGCTAAGGCAAGAAGGAGCAGAAGGTCGTCCTGGTTGTAGCATAGTGCATAAGAGGGTGGGTTAGGGCTGAATGGTGCTGAGCCTTGCAAAAAGTCACATGAGGATTGTAGATTTTATTCCACGTACAGATAAAAACCAATAGACTTTTAAGGAAGAGATGTGTACTTTGACTTATATTTAGATGGCTCTGGCTGCTGAATGAAAAAAAGAAGTGGTTGTAGGCAGGTGGGAATAAAAGCAGGTCACTAGAAGCCCATAGCAGGAGTCAAAGCAAGAGATAATGGTGACTTTCTCTGCATTTATGGAGATGATCATGTGATTTTTATTCTTCATTTTGTTAATGTGGTGTATCACATTTATTGATTTGTGGGTGTTGAATCATCCTTGCATCCATGGAATAAATCCCATTTGATCATGATGTATGATCTTTTTAATCTCCTGTTGTATTTGATTCGCTAGTGTTTTGCTGAGGACTTTTGCTTCTGTGTTCATCAGTGATATTGGCCTGTAATTTTCTTTTTTTGTGTGTTTCCCTTGTCTGGTTTTGGTATCAGGGTTATGTTAGCCTTGTAGAATGAGTTAGGAAGCACCCTCTCTTCTTCAATGTTTTGGAAGAGTTTGAGAAGGACAGGTATTAAATCTTCTTTGAATGTTTGGTAGAATTCACCAGGGAAGCCATCTGGTCCTGGACTTTTGTTTTTTGGGAGGTTTTTGATTACTGTTTCAATGTCTTTACTAGTGATTGGTCTATTCAAATTCTCTTTCTTCTTGATTCAGTTTTGGAAGGTTGTGTGATTCTAAGAATTTATCCATTTCTTCTACATTATCCAATTTGTTGGCCTATAGCTTTTTGTAGTATTCTCTTAATCCTTTGTTATCCATTGTAATTTCTCCTCTTTTGTTTCTTATTTATTTGAGCCTTCTCTTTTTTTTTTGCTTAGTGAATATAGCTAAAGGTTTGTCGGTTTTCTTTATCTGTTCCAAGAACCAGCTGTTAGTTTCATTGCTTTTTTCATCTCTATTTCATTTATTTTCACTGTGATTTTTATTATTTCGTTCCTTCTACTGATTTTGGACTGTGTTTGTTCCTCTTTCCCTAGTTCTTTTTCTTGTTGTGTTAATTGTTTATATGAGATTTTTTTGTTTGTTTTTTGAGGTAGGCCTGTATTACTATAAACTTCTCTCTTAGTACTGCTTTTGCTGCATCCATAAATTTTTGTATGTTTCTTTTCACTTTCATTTGTCTCCAGGTATTTTTTGATGTCTCCTTTGATTTCTTCTTTGATCCAATAGTTCTCCAGTAGCATGTTCAGTCTTCTTAAATTTATTGAGACTTGTTTTCTCTCCCAACTTGTGGTCTGTTCTTGAGAAAGTTCCATGTGCACTTGAGAAGAATGTTTATTCTGCTCATTTTGGTTGGAATGTTGTCTATATATCTATTAATTCCATCTGGTCTAATGTTTCATTTAAGGCAGTTTCCTTGTTGACTTTCTGTCCAAATGGTCTATCTATCAATGTAAGTGGGATATTAAATTCCACTGCTATTATTGTGTTGCTATCAGTTTCTCCCTTTAGGTCTGTTAATAATCGGTTTATATATTTTGGTGCTTCTAGGTTAGGTGCATCTATATTAATAAATGTTAAATCTTTTTGATGGATTATCCCCTTTATCATTTTATAATGTCTCTCTTTGTTATTTCTTATTATTGTTTTTGGCTTGAAGTCTAATTTATCTAAGTATTACTAAACCCCATTTCTTTTGTTTGCTGTTTGCTTGGAGTATCATTTTCCATCCCTTCACTTTGAGCCTTTGTTTGTTTTTAAAGCTGAGATGAATCTCCTGGAGGCAGCATATAGTTGCATCTTGTTTTTTAATCCATCCAGCCACTCTGTGTCTTTTGATTGATGAATTCAAGGCATTTACATTTAGGATGGTTATTGATACATGAGTAATAAGTACTGCCAGTTTACCTTTTGTTTTCTGGTTGCTCTCTATCTCTGTTGTTTCTTTTTCTGTGTTTCTGTTTGCCATTTCCGTTTGGTATTTTTCTGTGATGTTTTTCTCAGTTTCCTGTTTTTTTATGCTTCTTGCCTCTGTTCTGAATTTTAGTTTTGTGGTTTCCCTGAGGTCTGTATATAAATCTTATAGATAAGATAGTCTTTTTCTGCTGATAGCATCTTCATTTTTTCTATTCAGTTTCCTTCCTTTTACCTCTTGGCTTTCTGTGTTTTTCATTCTTGCAAATTATCCTGTTTTGTGTTGTGAATTCATTATCAAATTGGAGTGGTTATAGTTATTTTTAATGCTTTCTTTCCCTTTAAACTTTATGTTATAATTAGGTGTTTATCAACCTGTTCTGTTATTGAGTTGCAATTTTCTGATTCTGTCTGTCAATTTACCACCTTGCTCAAAGTTTCATGTACATTTGCCTTTTTGTTTCAGGTAGAAGAGCTCCTTTCAACATTTCTTGTAAGGCAGGGGTAGAGGCAATGAACTCCTTCAGCTTTCATTAGTCTGGGACAGCCTGTATTTCTCTTTCATACCTAAAGGATAGCTCTGCTAGGTAGAGTATTCTTGGCTGACGGTGTTTACATTTGAATGTTTTGAATGTATCATTCCACTCTCTCCTGGCCTGTAGAGTTTCTGCTGAGAAATGTGCTGATAGCCTGTTGGGGGTTTCTTTACAGGTTATTGGTTACCCCCTCCTGGCTGTCTTTAGTATTCTTTCTTGTTATTAACTTTTGACAGTTTTATTGTGTGTCTTGGAGAAGGTTTTATTGCATTGAGATAACTGGGTGTTTTAGTAGATTCATGAATTTGTCTATCCAGTTCCTTCTCCAGGTATGACTCTAAGCTATGATTT